CCCCTTGCCACCCGCCCAAAGGAGGTCGTCGCCACCCCACGCCACCCCCGCGGGGAGCGCAGCGGCAGCCGCAGCGGCAGCGTCAGCGGCAGCGGCAGCGGCACCGGCACCGGCACCGGCGACGGCGCGGACATTCATCGCCGCGGCGCCTACGGCGGAAGCTCAAGTAACATGGTCAACATACCTCTCTCCCTCACCCTACAGCATACGAGCTTACAGCGCGGGCTGCGCGCCTCTCTGCACCCACGGTATGTATCGGGACTCATCGGATCAATGTAGACAACCACCACTCGGCTCTAGATAACACGTGCACTCTCCAAGACCAAAAAAAGTAAAAACTCGAGGTGTTGTAGAGAACTGGAGGACACGTGTGTCAGTGCTCTTGTCAACAGTATTCCCTCGAAGTCTGTTATGTATATCAATTCATCGATGTGATTCGCTGATTTGACGTGAAGACAACAAAAATATTAGTATGCACATGCATCGATGATAGATCGTAATAATATTTTCCAATGCATCAATGTAGCATATGATGGGCGAGGTGCTGTACTGTAGAACGTTCCGCAATATCCAGCGAAGTGCTCGTGACGTGGTCGACGACGGCACAGGGAAGGCTCCTGCCCAATGATGTGAAACGGGAAACGGGATGCGTGCAAGAAAGAACCGACAAATGGTGTGAGACGCTACGGATCTCCCGCACTTTCTACGGTTTTGCTAAGCCTCCTATGGGCATGCTCATGGACATGCCCACAGGAAGCCCATGAGGAAGGTCCACGGGCAAGCCCATGGGTGGCCTGTGGGCAGCCCATAGGCGGCGAATGAGTGTCGTTCAACCGGGGCCAGTGTTCTCCTAAACCATAGATCTTATGCTTTGGGAAGGGCATTATTACCGCTTATATTCTAACCCTAACCCCAAGCCCACACGATACGTGCTAGGTGTCGCTAAGTTCTAGGTTGATGTGCCGTTGGCGAGTTCTAGGTTGAAATGCCCACGATGGGCAATTAGCGGGCAGTTCATGGGCTGCCCATGAGCTGCTCCGTGGGGGGTTTCGCAAAACTGCCGGTAGTGTGGGAGATTGCATGACGCTACATGTAAGAACCTATAGTTTTCCAGGCGTACGTGTGAGAATCCAGACCTGAACACACAGGAATGGCCCGTGGCGCCATCTCACGTCGGATTACGGACACCCCGCCATTGTTGAACGTTTTCGGGAAGCGTTTACCGCACACAAGCCATGCTGAAGACTTGTGGGCGGGGGGGGGGGGGGGGGGCGCTACACGGAAAAAAAGAAAGAAACGGAGTGAAGGCATCTTGTGAAAACGCGCCTATGAAACAGCCCTTCACCGAGAGCCCCCAGCACGCAGAAAGCACTTGAAAGACTGGCGAATGGTATTCATTGCCCACCACTTTTCGGGGGGATAACTGACTACCGGGCCTCACACCACATGCCATCATGGCAAAGGCAACATAAACATCACAATATGAACAGCGCCTGCACACATTTCTCACCGAAAGAAGGCGAAGACCTTCTTTTGCTGGTCCTGTTTGGCGACATCGTTCGCTGCCTCGTCGATGGTGGCGGAGCGGAAGCCCTTCGTGGTGGCCTCCTCTACCAGCTCGCGGACAGCCTCGACGTCACCAGAGGGGAGCTCTTCATCGCCTTCGCCAGCTTCCTCCCAAAGCGCTTCTTGTCCTGCAAAATGAGGAATATTGTAGTGGAGCAAACGATGTTACAGACGTAGCAACAACAACGAAATTATTGTGTGTGTGTGCCAGTATGCATTTTGTGTCGATGTTCATGTTCTTCGCGGGCGCGAAAAGAAGGCGAGGAAATACACTACAGGTGTTTATTCCCTGGTGAGAGGTTTGGTTCCTTCAGGCATCGTTCGGAGTCTCAAGCTGTGGCTGATACTGGTTTCTGGGCCTCTCGTCTGATTCCACCGGCATAACAGACACGTGCAGCACAGTCATACCGGTATATAACTGCCCGCAACTGAATACCCTGCCCGTGATAGTACTGTACGTTCCCTCAACCTCGTCTATTTTTTTTCTGGTGACACTAATACTCGGAAATTCTAACTTCAAGTTTCAAATATTCTGCTGTCAGTACATGCGCCAGACAACGAAACCGATGTGTTTTTGTGGACGGTCAACGGTACTGCCGAACGCGGAGGGGTCAAATTCTCTTGCTATTACTCTCCAATCTATCGCCAAAAGTTCGATCCCCGTGCCGGGGGGTGCAATATGTGAATGCAAACAATCTCAGGTACGATAATTGTTCGCTCTGCTCGCGTGTGAAAGCTCTCTTCCGATGTCTACGCCGTGCCCAACGACCCATAAAAAGCGTGTAGAAAATGGGCGTTGTGGAACAAACTATTACCTCCAGCCGAACTCCCGCCGTGTCGTCCAGGAAGGGCCCTGGGATGATCGTGGGAAGTAAAGTGAAAAGGGGAGCGACAGGCGAGAAAAGGACGGACGAAAGGGCATGTAGACTATAAATATGAAGTGCATTGACAATCCTTATGTTTTCGCTGTCCATGCACCCTGCGCCCCTTCTTCTTTCAAATGAATGCCGTTCTCCTCGTCATTAGACTTCCCAGGTGCCTTCCCCAGGACCTTCGTGGAGTACAGGGCGAAAGCTTCGCTGATGTCGGTGGGAGTTGTAACTCGCCCATCCATCAAAATACTCATTCACGGATTAATCGTTCAGGGCCGCATGGATGTCGGGCAGTACAGGGCTGCTCAAGTTTTGCGTCGGAGAAGGGCCATAAATTTGCACGCTGTACACCCAAGAGCCTTGTCCCCGGAACGAATTTCAGACTGTAATACGAACTCCCCGTCGTTGTTGGACTCCGCAGGAATTGTTGGCAAGGACATTCAAGAACTTGCGATAGGGGTCGTACACGGAAAAAATATGAAACGTATGAGGACATCTGTGCATACGCACTGTATCTGAATTGAAAAGAGAAGAAACAACTCGCACAACAAGCGGGGAGAATGAATGATTGCTGCAAACGACGACGCGGTGAGTTCGCCCTCCACAGAAGCGACGAAGCCGGCCCCGCGGCACCCACTCCTCTTGTCGGCGAGCAGCATGGCCGCCCAGGGCGGGCAACCTCGGCTCCCATACCGTTCGCGGCGGGCAGGATCGGTGGAGGCGGAGGCCTACTTGCTGCTAAAAAGCAAGCCAGCTCCCGGTCACGTTTGTCGTTTCCGCTTGCCGTGTTAAACTCGAGCTTGGGACAGGCGACGGACGACGTTTCACAGCTGGCCGGACCGGAGTTGGCTTTCATATCAGTAGCAAGCAGGCCTCTGCGCCGAAAAGTCCTGCTCGCCGTGGGAGAGGGAGCAGAGATAAGTGGGAGCAGAGATGTTCCCCCACCCGGGGGCCTCAATGCTTCTCGCAACGAAGAGGGGCGGGTGCGCGCGGCCGGCTGCGTCGCTGCTGTGGAGGGAGAG